AAATAGTCGCTTTCTTAAAGTATACTACTATATACTTATTCCCTACTATTACTTAGAAGTACGTTTGCTACCCTTGTTGTTTACAAGCCTTCTACCAGTTTCGTATACTATAGGCTAAGGTACTTATTTAATAAAACTACTAGTTAACCTGTTATACTGTGGGTGTAGGCTATAGTCCAAAGCTATTCCCTTTTATAACTAAAATACTATATGTGCTTATTATTGTCTACTCTAGTTCTAGGCCTTCCTTATAAAGTACATGTAGTATCCAATTTCCATGCGTAATGCTGGCTTCGTTTGCCTGCTAGTGAGCCAGTTATTGCTCATAAACGCTCTTTGCTTTGCCATATATCCAACCCAGAGTAAACGTATAGTGAACATTCCGCCGTGATGTGCTGTTTCCCTTTGTTTCATGTCAAGCACCATTCTGATCGTCATTCGCTTCCTCGCCTTTCCCACCAATTCTTGTTGCCTCCACTATGCGGTCCCATTCTTTCGGAATTCCGCAATCCTCTTATGTTGTGCTCCTTCGGTAGCCTTTGACTCTCTGGCACTCGGTGATCCTCCGGTACTCTGTGATCCTCCGGCTTTCTGCGATCCTCCCGCGTTTCGTGACTCTTCGGCCTTCTGTGACTCCCCGACACTCTGTGATCCTCCGGCCTTCGTGGCATCTCCAGATTTCTGTGGTCCTCCAGCTTCCTTCACAGGCTTCAGGACACTAGCCGCTCCCGTCCCGGTGTTCACCTCCATCCTAGACCTCTTCTCCGGCCTAGTTCCTGTCCCTGCCTCGGCCTTCCGCTTGTCAGATCCGTTATTCCCCCCATTCAAACGAGGATCAACACCAACTCCAGCCGCCTGTGCTGCTGGCATTGCTGCCGGTATTGATGCCACCACTCTTGCTCTCATGGCAGCGGCTGGGGCTCCCGTCTTTGTCCCACTGCTATTGGGATGGGCACTCCCACTTCCTCCTGGCATTGCTGTCGCCATTCTTGCTCTCATGGCAGCGGCTGGAGCTCCCATCTTTTTCCCACTGCCACTGGCATGACCAGTCCCACTACCACCAGCAACCCTTCTACCTCCCGACTGAACCCCATAAATATGATCCAGCGCCATACGCATCTCCTCTAACCTCTTCTTATTCAGCAGCTCCTCGTTCTTCTTCTGTATCTCCCTCTCGGCCTGCCACTCGTACATGTTCGATGGAGCCTTCTGCACCTCCCTCATGCTGACAAACTGCTTGGGAGGTCTGTTATTGGGGAGCAGGCTTTGGAGTTCGAGCCGGGTCATGAATTTATCTTGGAGTAACAAGGCGAGGTGAGGGTCCTTCCTCAAAACCTGCTGGTAATGCAGGTTGTGTTGGATGAGGCGCTTACTGTCGTGAGTCTCGAGGCTCTGCTTGCGGTGCATGGGAAAGTGGGGGACATGGGATGAGGGATCTGGTACGGCGGTGGGTTTGGAGCTGGAGGCTTGGTCTTGAGTCCTTGGCTGGTTTGAGACGAAGGAGGAGGGTGGGTGCATGACTTGGGGTTGTAGCTTTTGTCGAAATTTCTCAAGCTGTTGTTGAATTGGGAGTGGCAGTTGTTCCCTCCGCTGATACAGGGCCATAAACGCCTGCAGTTGATGCATGTGGTACAAATGTTTCTGTCTTCTGTGATGTTCTTGTGATTGAAGCTGTTCTTGCTGTTGTTGCTCTCCTGGCCGTTCTGACTGTTGTACCTCTTCTTCTTGCTGTTGGCTATGTACGTGTGGTGTAAGTTGCGATGGTGATATTAGGTCAGCCGGTGGAGTAGGCAGGAAGTTGGACTCTACGGGGAGAGCGGTATTGGATGTTCCGCCCACGGGGTTGGCATCAGCGGGGAGAATGGGCTGGAGGGGTTTCGGAGAGACAGTCGAGTCGTCATTGCATAGAGGCACTAGTGTGCTGACTGGGGTTGGATATGAAGCCGCGTTCAATGTGGCCCCGTTAGGTGTCATGTTGATGCTCGTCGAAGGCCCCATTGGTGAAGGAATCTTGGGTGTCTTGCTGGCGTTGCTGTGAGCCTTGGAGTGGGAGGAGTTGAGAGCAGTGGTTGGGCAAGGGGCTACTCCCGGTCCGTTGACGTCTCTGTTTGCCGGTGCATCCATCTTGTCATGTTGTCTGTGGGTGGGCAGAAGCGGTTTTGACGGCCTGTCGGGTACTCGATTGAGTTTCAGATAGAAGGTGAGCGGGATTGATCAAGTTGGTGGGCTGACGTAGAAGAAGGTCAAGGCATTGAGTAGGTTTGAGGTTCTGATTGACGCTGTTGGAAGCCAGTTGTGGCTAGGTCAAGGGAATGCGGCGACGAGGAACTGGAAGTCTGAGGGGGTGGTCGGGTTGAAGAATGCCAAAGCAGCTCAAGCAATGAGTGCTGCGTGAGTAGGCGCAAGTATATGTTAGTCGCATGTACTGTGCATGTACACGTTCTGGGTGCAGGAAGTACCGTAGACTGCGGATGGTGGCAGTTCTCTGTTGAGTTGAGTTTGATGAGAGCAGGCTTGCGGGTTACCAGATGCGTTCGTGGCCTGGAGTGTGAGCGGGATACCGAAGCGTCAAGACAATAGAATGTTTGGGACGGGTTATCAGATACTGCTCTGCTGTTGTAGCTTTGGTATCAGTGTTGTGATTCCGGTTGTTGAGTGTTGTGTGAATACATGTATGTCCAGACGCTGATCTTCTCTGTGTTGATGCCAGGCCTCTCGGAAATCGCAATGGCTATGTTCGTCGGTGCATTCGAGGATGCGATGGAGGAACGAAAGAAGCTGTTCGTGGTCCAAGTCTCAAGGTGTGTCGACCGAATGGTATTTGGTTAAGGCGGTGTATTGCTGTTCATAAGATATGGCAATGGGCCGGACCTTAAGACGTCACCTTATGTTCTAGCACCAGACAATGTAGACAATATTGTTGTTCTCCAGACCATAGCAGCGCGGGCAGTAAATGAAGTACACAAGGCACCTGCTGGGCTGACCCAGAGAGGAGAAGTTTATTTGAGAGTATGAAGCAATCGATGGTGTCTAGCAAGATAATATCCAGTACGTTGAATAAATTGTGGTCCAAATGATATGATGCTTGTGGATGACCAAGTTCACCCGTGGGCGGAATCACCTCAGCTTTATACCATTACCACTCAAGTCTCAACCTGCTGTTGCCGGTGAACCCAACCTAACTACTCCTTTGCTTTGAACTGCTTCCACCCTTTCTCCGGTACCTCCTTCCTCTCCATTTGGACTAATACCCGGTGTAGTAAGCGCTGTTCCCTCGCACCCGGCTGTACTTCCCTGACTTCCGGCTCCATGTCCACCGCCACCATCATCGGTAGTGCCTTCCGCACTACTCTCCTCCCATCCCCTAGCCCTAGCAGCAGCCATAAAATGTTCCTGCACCCAGCTCGCAGTAGTGGTGAATCTCCGTCTCGCTGGCGGTAGCTCTTCCAGCGCGAATGTGATCACCGAACCATAGTAATACCACTCCCTGGTGCGCTCGATCTCGACGTTGTCGTAGTACGGGCATTGGTGGGCGAGAATGAGATGGGCGAGGATGTGCTCGTGGCTTGTGTCGCGGCCGAATTCGATTTGGGCGTGGCCGGTTCCTTGGTCTCCGGGAAACTGGGCGGCGCACCATGTAATGGAGACGAGGTGGCAACTTTCCCGGCTGCTTATGTGCGTATGATAGGCATTCCAGGGCGTGAGGACGTACTTCAGTTGGCACATCGTATATAGTGAGATGGGGGTGAGATTCTTGAGTGGTGTCGTGGGTTTGGCTGTGAAGGCTGGGAGTTATGAAAGTGAGCTGAAGGTGAGAGCGTCGCGAGTGTTGAAGAGTCCAAGGGTTTTCAAAACGAGGAAATGGTGTTTATTGATGATTCATCTAACAATGGGTCATTATGGATGACTGTAACAGTTGAATAGAGACCTGTTTTGTGATCGCAAATTTGTTGACGAAGAGAGTTTGAAGATGTTGGTGAATATTGATGTCCCTCCACTTGGGCTTCCAAACTGTGGTTCGATAATGAATGGCTCGTCCGATGTAGCTGATCCACAGAAGGTCGGCCGGTCTTGTAGAATTTGGCCAGAGACTGACGGCACGTCTTGGGATGACAGTGGTCGCAATGCGATGTATTGTTCTTGACTCTTTGAATACGTTGAGAGTTGAGATAAAGGATATCGCTGGTTAGTAGCAGGAGAGCAGAATAGGTAGGTAGGAACGGGGGCACAACGTCGACGATGGGAGTCACCACTGCAATGACACTCGTCAATGTTCCACCCCCCAACTGTGCTTATGAACGGTAGGGAAATTCTGGATGATGGCACCATGGTCATTCAACCAGTGGGTTGAACACTCATCTGATATGAACTCTTGGCCAGCAGAGGGCATCGTGAGCAACGCAAGGTCAACACTGCATTGACACTCTTCGATGTTTGAACCCCAACGAGCTTTCTGCAGTAGTGGACTGTAAAAAAGCTGTTAGAAACAACCAACATATGCCTTCCATTGTTCCTGGCATCCAACATCGCCGACATGACCTGAGCATGTCGGTGATACTTCGCATTGTTGACATGGCGCCATCAACACCGCGCCAAGCATCACCGGCAACCCTAACCCTTGCAATGCGCAGATCCCAGCAGCGACAACAGGGAGTCCTGTGCGTCATCAGCCAAGACCCTCTTGTGCCCCGCGCGTCCCTCGCCCGCTCTCGCCTTCGTCTCGTTTCGTCTCGTCTCGCCGGCGTCGTTGCCCGAGCTCATCTCATATTCTGCAGCCTCTATTCCCAACCATGCAACTGAGCTTTCAATTGCTCAGACATCCAACATCCGAAAAATCCAATCCAAGTCACTTGACTTGACCAACAACAACAAGTCTCCAAGAAGCCGATGCGGAATATCCTCACCCGATACCCCGCACTCACCTCCTTCGCATCCGCATCTGCATCACGCACTCGCGCTCTTGCTGCTTGCAATAACAACAACAACACCAAGAACCTGTTCAACTCGAACACACATTTCAACCTCACCACCAACCACCAACCCATCACCCCCAAGCGCACCTTCAAAATGACGTTCCCCAACCCCAAAACCCAAGAACCAACCATAACCTCCATAACCGAACTCACCCCTCAAACCTCCAAATGGCTCACCCTCCAACAAATCTCCTACGTCGACCAAACCGGCAAGTCCCGCCTCTGGGAAGTCGCCGCGCGCAAGACCCGCTCCTCCTCCTCCTCCTCGGGGGTGGCAGGCGGTGTCGACGCAGTAGCCATGTGCAACATCCTGCTTCACCCATCCCGCCCGCCCTCCACGCTTTTGGTCATTCAATACCGTCCCCCGCTCGACGCCTACACAATCGAGTGGCCCGCTGGTCTCATTGATAAAGGGGAGACGCCGGAGCAAGCGGCTGTCAGAGAGTTCAAGGAGGAGACGGGGTATGAATGTACGGTTAAGAGGGTGAGTCCCGTGCAGGCGGCGGATCCGGGGATGAGTAGTGCCAATATGGTGATGGCGACGGTGGAGGTAAATCTGAAGGAGGAGGATACGGAGGAGGCACTGCCTGAGCAGAGACTTGAGGATGGCGAACATATCCAGAGAGTGGTGGTGCCGATGGCAGAGCTCTATCAGAGGCTGGTGGAGTATAGTAAGATGGAGAGACATATTGTTGCGGCGAAGCTGTTTCATTTTGCGGAGGGCATGGAGTTTGCGAGGACGGAGGGGTATGGCGTTTTCGGGAAGAGGGAGTAGATGCACGTGGTTGATGGGCTATGGTAGGGCAGAGGCAGTGGGCAACGGAGAGTCACGGTAGAGATCGAACTGATCGTGAACGGAGGGTTAGAAGGACATGATGACGATGATGCGTTTACCGAGACATCCGATTTAATAGAAAGCGATGAGTTTGGAGTTGGTGTTCTATCACAGACAATTGGGAGGCGCAAATAGAGTAACACAGAGAGATTGATGACTGTGCACGACCAAGGTTGAGAACCTCATTGTTTGTTCCTTTGATCTCGCAAACGGCCGGCCCGTCCCGTTCATAACGATGATGTGCCTTGCTCACTTGGGTTTTCAGTTGCGGCCCAACAATGATTCCATATCAGATACAAAGCATAAAGTAGAAGCCAAGCATATTGGCAATCAAAGATGTACCCGTGTGTGTGAATGAACCTTATGGATAACCATGTGTCGTGAATCTCCAAAACCTCCCGAATCTCTCGCGAACACGCACCGATTGTCACAAGGAATTACGCGATTGCCGTGACATAAAAACAAGGGGGAGATCACCATTGCAGCTCAAGTTTCATGTCAAAGAGGTGCCAATGCCATCCATCATCAATGACTGGCTCCGTTGTTCGGTGTCAAGTGTTAACTGTCAGGGAAAGCACATGAAGGATGACAATGCCCCTCATGACGCAATACCTTTGGGTTTGTGTCGCCAAAGAGTTGGAAATGTGGAAGTTCAGTGACCCAAACGGCCGTCGACGTGCAGTCAGCGCAGTGGGACGTCAGGGAAAATTGCGGGGACCTGCAGCTGCTGGGCGGGCGGGAATGGATGCAAGGCGGGGCGGGGACGTGGACCGTGGACCGGGGGCCGGGGCCAGCCGGGGGTAGAGCCAAGGGGGGATCTGATGGTGCTCTCCCGGTCTTGCATCGTGAATTCGGATGGAAGCACCTTACGTACCACATTTGTGTGTAGAGATGCGATGATAGGTACATGTTAAGGACGTTGTTCTCCGTGAGAAGAAATAGAAGCGCGAACGAACAAACCGGCCGGGAGAAGAAGAACATCAATGGTTCCATTGTCCGGTCCGGTCGCGTCACCGCCGTGCTTGTCGTGCAAAAGCCCCAGGCCAAAGGAGGCGGTAAACAGCTGAAGCCCTGAAGCCCTGCGCCTTGAGGGACATTCCAGTCCCAGAGTGGATGATTTGGCAACCAAAAGTGGATGAAATAGGGAAAGCTGATATGGAGAAAGCTCCCCCTCTGTTTAGCGGTTTCGGGAGAGGACCCCATGAATGGAAAAGGGGTTACCTTCTTAAACATGTTCCAGCGAGTTCGTGAGTCGTGGCGGAATGCAGATGGTTGCTTTGCATTTAAACTTTTACAGCAGTCTAAAACAATACGTAAGGCTGATGATGATGAAGGATGATGAGGTGTTCATCTCAAACGTGGACTTGCAGGATCCATCATCCCAAACACACACATGGGGAGTTTAACCAAGTCCGAGCTGGAATAGAAACGAAACCGCCCCTTGGTGAGGATCTCACGGAAGTCCAGTCTCTTGGATCGACGGGGAAACAAACGAGCGAGAGAAAAAGGAAGGGGACTTCTGCTCACTACCACCAGGAACAAGAGACAGAGACAGGCACCCGTAGACCGTAGTGGCGGTGACCCACTTGGTTAGCTTATTTCTACCACTAGCACTCTGGAGATATGGAGAGCGATGGAAAGAGCAAATATCGAATGTGATTCAAATGTGATTGAGTGACCCGAAAGATGGAATGAAAGGAGGAAGGCTTTGAACATGCATGAACTGAACTGTCTTGTCAGTGCCGATTGACCAAACAAGGACAAGAAAATGTCACCCTTTCCATTACTGAATGAATGTTTCAACTTGCCAATGCGGGAATGGACAAGAGCGAACAAGAGAATCAAGACAACGAAAGAACCATCCTGCACTTGCTGTTGCACCACCCGCCTGCAGGGTTGACGAGGTGCGCACGGGTGCCATGGTGCCCATACCCACGGTGGGTCATGTCCATCCATATCCACGCTGTTAGTGCGAGCATGCGACGGTTGGCCGGCAGAGACTGTTTGGTTCAGAACTGTTAGAGCCACTACTGAGAAACATGTAATAGCACTAACAGAACCGCAAACGCCAAGCCGTCTCCCCCCAGCGGGCCTCGACCTGGGGAACAGGTGCTGCCCCCGTCCTCTGCCGTGCCATCTTCCAACCCACCGACACCGCCCGACCGACTCGGACGACATTCCTGGTTCATTCCCTTCTCTGGTTCCTCTTGTCCTGCGACAACAACAACAACAACAACAACAACAACAACAACATCGACTTGATCATAGCCAACCGCCGACGACGACCACCACGATACCTCGACGAGCAGACCGAGACGGCGTCGTGTAATCTAGGTAGGTTACGACTTTGCGACTGTCGCAGCCTGCCTTTACCTACCTCTATACTGCCCTCTGCACCCGGCTGGCAGCCAACCCCAACCGAGCGCCGCTGCAGCCAAAAGAAGCAAACCAGCCCCCCAGACAAGCAAGTCCTGCGTTTTACCACCAGACCACCGACCCTCAGCTTGCGACGCCAACCCAACAAATCAATCAATCAATCAAAACCGCATAACAGGAAGAGGGCCCCGTCGTCGCCTTTCCCCCCGATCTCACCTCGCCCGGTCGCGCAGGTCCACTCCCGGCCTCTCCATCCAGCTCGCTTCGGTTCGCTGTGTGTGCTCTTCGACGACGTCGGCGACAACACGCCTCTTTTTCTCCCCTGCGTGGTTCGAGGCTCCTTCTGCTGTCCGGGTAATGCGTCACCCTCATCCTCCATCGCCATGACCCAAACTGCTTCTACCGAGAACACCGCAATCTAACGCTTGTCCAAACCTGTTTCCAAAGAAAGACGACGCGAAGGAAACGACGACAACCACAACCATCCATCCGTACATCAAATCAGTCTTTTACGGCCTTTTTTCCATTTCCATTTTTCACGCTCGCAACTCGCCTTTCAACTCTACGATATACCCTCATTTCTACGTCACGCACGCCCGCATTTCCTTTGCATTCAACCTTTTTCGCATCCCGCATATCGCATCTCGATTTTCTTCACGACAGCGACGACCGACGAAGTCTTTTTTCCTTTGTTTTTCATCAACTACCAACAACCAACTAAATCAACACCAGAATCATCACATGAAAGCCTGCAGACCACCATACCAGATCGTACGACGATAAAACTTGCGAAATGGCGGCCGACGTCCCCGCATCACCCCCCAAAAATGCCACAACTCAGGAGACCTTGGACTGGTACAAGCGACAGTACGAACAGCTTGAGCAGGAACTCAGGGAATTCCAGGAGTCGTCCAAGGAACTCGAGGCCGAGCTGGAAAAGGACCTGGACGCCGCCGATAAGAGAGAGCGCGCCCTACAGCAAAAGGCCGAGGGATTATCCTACGAGGTAGAGGAGTGGAAGGTATGTTTGGCTCTCCCGTTAGGCTCCGATGATGGTGATGATCCTGTGACTGGATTGTGATGGATGCGACCCCCCCAACACACCATTCATTTCGATTAGCGCCACACCCGCCAATTGCTCCCACCACCCATCTGACCTTTTCCCCTCCTACGCTAAAAACACGAACATCTGCTGACCCGTTTCTTCGCCTACAGAGAAAATACAAAGAATCAAAATCAGAGGCAAATGCTGCGCAAAGTGCGCTTGAGAAGGAAATCACGGCTCTGCGCGAGACCAACAGAACCCTCCAGCTAAAGCTACGCGATATCGAAGTGGCCAACGATGACTTTGAGCGCCAAGCCCGAAACACGTCCTCCTCGCTTGAGGACCTCGAATCCAAGTACAATGTCGCCATCGAGCGCGCCGTCATGATGGAGGAGGAGATCAAGATCGGAGAGCAGGAAAGAGAACGGCTACGCGTCGAGGCCCAACGATTGCGCGAAGAATTGTCCGACCTCAAGATTGAGGCAGAGATCCTGCAGTCCAAGCTTAGGAAGCACCAAGCCCGTGGCCATCTTACCCAGATCACCACCACAATCGCCCCCGCGCCTGCTTCACCGCTGTCCGCCGCCAGCTCGCCTTTGGTCAGCACTCCACCCGATACCAAGTCCCTGTCCACGATCGACACCTTGTCCGAAGTGCAAGACCCACCATCACCGCCCATGTCGGATGCCTCGCTCGGCAAGGGTCTTAGGGCCTCTAGGAACACCCCCGTCAAGCAGACGGCTTCTAGGCCTGGAGGGTGCAGGACACCCAAGTCATCCATCTCCAAGTCGGCGGCGGCCAAGTCGTCAGCACAGGCAACCCACAAGGCCAACCGGTCCATCAGCGAGAACAACCTCACGCCGAAGCCGAAGCCACTCAGCTCGTCCACCTCCTCGCTAACGAACCGTCCTTCCAAGGGCCGCTTCGACAACAACAGCTATCCTATGGTGCGCACGCCCTCATCGCGGCCCTCTGCCGCTAGAGCCGCTGAGAGGCCACGGGCGCCTGTGCACAGGGTCCCTCCATCCAACTCCCTCACCCACATCCGCACCCTTACCGCCCAGATGCAGAAACTCGAAGCCCGTGTTCAGTCTGCTCGCTCTAAGCTCCCAGCTGGTCCAGCGCAGCCGTCACCTAAGCAGTCGCCGCGCTTCAACGGAGGCATTGGAGGCATTGCTGCCTCGGTAGCCATGCGCGGGAAGAAGCAGCGGGGGCCTGGGGCCTCTACCCCTAATCTGCTAGATGATGACAACGCGTCCGACATCTCCAACTCGCACAGCAACCCTGACTTTCGCAGTAGCACTTCGAACCTCAGCAAGCACATTCCTCGACTTAGTACGTCAGGACTTAGCAGCACTTCAGGAGTGTCACGCATAGCATTCGGCCCCTTACCGATCCGCCACCCCGCCTCTGCCGCCGCCTCGACAACATCCACAAGCACAGCAACCGCCACCAACGTCGACTCGGAAGTTTCGCGGCCCAGCAGCCGGGCTAGTTCCACGAGCTACCCGCGACCTATCAGCCGAGCCGAGTCCCACAGCACAGCAGCGTCAGGGTACATGCCCTCGTCCGCCTCGCGACCTATTAGCCGTACGAGTCTACCTGGACATGGGACACGAACCCCCGTTGGGTCATGGCCACGGAGCTCCGGGACACTGAGCGCGTACGGCCACGGTCCGGCCCACAGTCAAGCGAGCATCAGCTATAGCACAGCGGAGGAGGACGAGTTGACAGATGATGGGCAGCGGGAGCTGAGGCCAAAGACCACGCCAGTGAGGAGGAGGACAGGGACACTGAGTGCGCGCGATGCTCCTGATCATCACCATACTGGCATTCCGATTCCAGGGTCAGGGGGGAACAGGAGGCAAAGTGGCAGCTCGAGCGCAAGTAGGTCGAGTGTAACGGGCAGTTTGAGTCTAAGGAGGCCGAGTAATGCGGCGGCTCTAGGGCATGGACATGGACATAACACAGGGTATGGACATGGACATGGGTCAGTAGGAGGGAGCACGACAGTGAGGAAGGTGGTGGATTTGGGGGAGACCTATTGAGGGTTATGAGGATGTGAGGAAAGGGAATTTTTGGAAGGGTGGAGCGGAGGAAACATGGATATCAACGATATGGATATGGCATGGATATGAATATTTTTGGAAGGCTCTCAAGGGGAGAGGGGGGAGGAGGAGGAGAGGGAAGCAAGAGGAAGAGAATGGACAGGCAGAAAGAGAGAGAAAGAAACAGAATGGGAAATGGAAATTCTGACGGACAGGAGTATTGGCTTGCTTGCTTGCTTGCTTGTATTGGCTTGACTTGCGCGGTTTTGGCTGGTTTCAATCTCGCCCCCCCTCTGCTCTTCTGCTTTTCTCAAGTCAACTTCCTGCTTTGTTGCTGCGCGACGCGAAGGACGCACACACTACTATGGTACTACACTACAATAACATACACAACAGTTACTACATCGTTTTTTTATTAGTTTTGCTAGGTGGCTGCTACAGTCTATACTTTTATGGAATAACTACCCATCACATCACATTACGGCTCTTTTTCTATTTGTGCATTTTTTTGTGAGGTTGAGGGTGAGATTGGGGTTCTTTGGGACTTGGGGCTTGGGAGGCAGGTACCTCTACAGATATATGGAAATGGAACTGTATCTGGCACACAGACTGCTTCCTTTCTATGCACTTTACAAGAGGATCGTAACGATGATCATGACTGGCAATGGACGCTAGCGGAGGAAGGCGCTGTTGAAGTTTTCGTTTACCCTCCTTTTTTGCTTGTACTTGTATACCTAGTTTATGTACCAGAACCTTATATCCCCACATTTTCATTGATATTGATGCCCCGGTTTGATGCTATATATGTACTTTCATTCCTTTCCCGGCTACTTGTTGTAATGCGAATTGCGCGACTTTGGTGAAGATGAGAGAAGAAACAACTGGAATAGAAGAAAGTGATAGATACCTTAACGTTGAGAGAGATGGAGAGTGGAATATACCTATCTCTGGAGGTAGGTAGTCTCTACCTTACACATACAGCATATACCGGATAAAAGCCGCAGTGCCGCGGTGAATGATGAAAGTTGAGCAGAGCAGGTAAGGTATCTGAAGCCCAGGGACGGTTGTGAATACCTACGTCTCGATGCCTTACCGATTCTCTTGCCCGTTTCAGGTATATACATTCCGTCCATCGATCCATTTCGCCCATCGATCCATCCCGCCCTCCCCCCCCGTCCACCCAGATCCCTCGACGTACTTGTACTTGTACTTGTACTGGCCCCAGAAGCAGGATGCTAATTCGACCCGAGTAAGCTCGATCCATACCCCGAGTGATGTATTCGATCCGCCACATGCAGACGAAGTACTCGCCGCAAGAAACTCCGAAGTGGAAATATGGATAGTCTATGCGTAGATAACCTCACTGCAAAAGATGATCGCGGCGCGGCGCATATGAGAATCAAGCGGATAAGAAATAGATGGTTGGCAAGCGGAAACAAGGGTTGTTGGCAAACATGGATGGTTCAGTCACTAATGTGCACGTACCAGCCTGTGGAGTAATTATGTTAGGGCACTAATCTCCCCGTTATGCGGATACTTTGACCTACCTACTTAAGTGGTGATCCCGAATTTCTCTCCTGAAAAGTTCACCAGACCACCCACCCACTCTTCCATCTAAATTCTCTGTATGTCGTTCCGCAAACAGTATCACTTATTCCTCATATCCGTTCCTTTTGCTACTATTTTTTCTTCTCTCCCTGCGCTTCCGTGTCCGTGTTCCATCCTACCACGGGCGTTGATTGTATTGTCTTTATAAGGTATTGCGCATTCCGGCTTTCATTTCCTGAGTCCCAACTTCCAGGTTCCTGTCACTCGTATTATCCTCACAATATCACAGCCCAGGGCATTATCAGATAAGGTACTTATATACATGAAGCCAAATGTTTGACAGATCTATGCATCCTACGGTCTTACCTACCAGACCCTTAAGGTACCTCTATTTCTCCCCCGACTACGTCTAGAGGTACCTTTCCTCATATGTATAGGTACCTCTCCCTCCCTGTCCTTTCCCCTTCCATCTTCCACGTACTACGGTCGGTTTCCCATTCCTCCCGTCCCCTCCATTCTTCCCTAGAGGTAAGCTACCTACAACTACAACCTACAACTACAGCCTACCTACAACCTATGGTACCTACCTCAACGACTTTCCAAATGACTTCACTGCGGAGGCGTCGGCGCCTCGGGCGGTATACCCGCCGATCCACTCACCCCCAAATCTGGATATGGACTACTTCCGCCTCCCGGTGTCGGTGCGGGTCCGGTGTGGGTAAATCTCAATGGGCTTGGTTCTCTCAGACTCACACCTGTACTGGGGACATGAAGACCCGGGTTTGGGCTTGGGGATGAGTGATACGAGGGGGGTGTAGGCGCTGTGTAAAGCGGGTAGAGTGATGGTGCTCCATTTCCAGTGGTGGTGGTGGATGATGATGCTAGATAGATGGATAGATAAGATGGTATTGAGTAAGAGGTGTAGTACTAGCGGGTGGGAGGTAAGATGAAGTGGTGCCGGGGGCCAAGATAACTAGATGTATTAGCAGAAGTGGAAGTGCTCGAGGTGCTCAAGCCAAGGTAGGAGGAGCTGGTTGATGTGCTTGAGTCTGGATTCAAGCTTGACCCGCTCGTTCCATACCCCGACGTACTCGATCCGCCATATGAACCACTACTTCCCCCCAGATGCCCCGAAGAACCCGCAGAAGTCGCAGCAGGGGAGTAAGAACTATCTCCACCACTACCACTACTCACTGCTCCGCTCGAAGTATAAGTAGAAGTAGGGAAGTAAGGCGGCGCCCGTTCATTCTTTACGAAGTTCGATATCTCCCCCAGGGGAAGTATAACTCCAAGGAAACTCGCAAGTGGTTCGTGCCAACCCCCATATACCGAACCAGTCTCCCTTCAGGTCTTCCACCAGGTCTCCCACCAGGTCTCCCACCAGGTTCCTACAACCCACATACTTTACCCAAGCAAACCCTCAACTTGGAAATCACAACCCAAAATCATCACCTACCCTCCAGTCTCCATCCACCACCACCCCCGGTCCCCAACGATGTCCTCCTCCTCCTCGAAACCTTCCTCCCCATCCCGCTTTATTCGTTCATCAGCACACAGCCCCAGCACCATTGGGTATTCCACCCCTTACACATCCACTTCTGGTACTTCTACTTCCCTTTTCAGCCACAATACTTGTCCACTACTGGGGTTACACCCGCTTGCAGCTCTAGCTTTTCTGCCGCAAGTAACAGTGGCAGTGGCAGTGGGAGTAGTTCGGGTTATACACCGTATTTGACATGAACAGCGTCAACCTGGTATGCGTCGAGTTATTGCCATCGATGATACAGTCGCCCATGTTTGTCCCAACCCAGTCAACCCAGTCAACTCTCAGGAACCAGAAGGTCAAGGACACACATTGGGACGGGACCAGACCAACCAACAAAGTAAACCAAGAAAGACATTCCGGGTATAAACACTACCAGTACCCTATCTCTGAGATAACTACCTTACCTATCTACCGCATATACCATAACCAGAAAAAAAAACATAGCCTCATGTACACACTCGGGGGCCATGGGCCAGGGGCAGGCAACGTGGCGTTCCTGATAGAATCGACGCCCACCCCCACCGCCCCCATTCGCCCCTAACCTCGTCATCTTTCAACCTAGAAGCCCGGATCCCGTTATAATCATCATCGTTCAAAATGCAACCCGTGTAACCAAAACCAATCTTGTTAAACGCTTTTCCAAACCGTTCGGTGACCCAGTGACCAAGGAAATGGTAAACATTGAACATCCTGTGAGCCAAAGAATTGAGCCAAAGAAAGCCCTAGTTGCTCGCCCATACTTTTCGTATCCATCAATTTCTTATCCTTTCTTGCCATCCACACATCCTTCGTATCGGTCAGCTGTTAGACCCTCTGGCTGTTCTGTTGGTGTGCTTCGCAGCTTTATACCTACTCTCTCTTCGTCGGTGTCGTATCCTCCAAACTGCTGCACCCTCCACCCTCCCTCCGGTCTCCGGTCATCCCCAACGGCAGGGGACTTCCCCTTCTCATATTTTCCTCCACAATTCCTACCCTCAGGGCTCGAAGCGCCTCCCGTCCTGCCAGGTGATTCTACCCTGTGCGCCTTCCAGTCTCTGCGGGCCATGAAAGGATACCTAGTCCAGACAGACAGGTGATCGATTCGAGCGAGCGTAGCGAGCCCTGACGAGTAGCCTCTAGGGAGGCCTACCATCTCAGCATTTGGTCGCTTCAACCACCTTTCCTTATCCCTTTGACCTTCCCCTTTGTTTTCTTAACCTTGACCTTCGCAAAGGAGGAAAAGGCAGGCAAAGTAAGACAGGCAGGCAAAGTAAAGCAGGCAGGCAAGGCAGATAAGGTAGTTGCAGCGCGTCCATCAGCATCAACAGGAGTCCCATCTATCACCCCCACCCACACGAGCATGAGTGAAAAAGACGGACTACTACCCCCCTAGAACCACACCCCCTACCAGCGAATCTTGACAACCCACGAACACCGTCCATAAGCCCTTTTGCACCAATCTCCCACCCAAAACGCCAAGTTAAAAAGCTTCTGCGGCACAACCGCCGCAGCCTTCGCGCCCGTTTGTCCCAAGTATTTCGCGTACCCTTGCTTCCCCGCCTTCGGCTCCGGCAGTTTCCTCGCAGCGCGACTAGCCTCCCTCTCCCTCCGTTCCTTATCCTCTTTTTCTTCTCTGCGCTTCATCTCCCTCGCCTCGCGGTGGCGGTTACCCGTTGTCGTGCTCGTCGTAGACGTGGTATTTGTTGTCGAGGTGGTAGACGTGGTAGCGGTAGTCATTGTATTCGATCTGTCGCGGCCACGGCGGCCGCGCACCGTCTCCTGGTCGGAGTCTTCCCCGGATAACTGGCCGCGTTGCATCGCGAGCTCGAGCGGATGGACGGGTCTCTCCAAGTCGGGTTTCTTGCCGAGGGATTCGCGCGTGTAGTGCGGGGCTTTGAGATCGACGAGGGTTTCGGTTGATGAGCGGCGGGACAAAGAGGGGGAAGGCGCGCGGCGATGTCCGGGTAGAGATCTTCGACGTCATCGGAGTTGGGGTCCACGAGCGTCGCTTGCGATGGGTTGATTCCCAAGCCGGGGAAGGCCTCGGTTTGGCGCCGGTGGTGGGCGACGGCGCGGAAGGCCGCTGGGAAGAGGAAGTCGGCGGGGGAAGGGGCGACCATGTGCCCGCCGTACCCGGGCGTTCGTGGCGAGAGCGGGGAGAGGGGCATGCGCGGGGATACCGGTGACAAGGGGAAGCGTTGGGATAGTGGCGAGAGCGGGAAGCGTTGCGACAACGGTGAAAGTGGCATGCGAGGAGAGAAGTCGGGGAAGCGGGGTGTGTGTTGCATTTCGGGAGTCGGTTCATGTGGGCGCGGTGGAGGGGTCGGTGCCATGGGTTCGGCCTCGAGTTGGGGCAAAATCGGCGAGATGGTTTCCGTCGGGCTAGGAGGTGTCGAGTTTGGTAATTCGACAAACGATGCCGTCGGAAGAAAGAAAATCTCATCGGGAGCCGATGGCGGCGGGGTATCAGGTAATGCCTGGTGATGCATAACCGGCGTCTTCGCCATGTTGTAATCCTCATCGAAAATCTCGGGCATACCCGCCTGGGTGCTGAGCATCGAGGTCTCGCTCTCCCGGGGAATCGGCGGCAGCGGTTTGTCCACATCGTCCATCATCAACAACGTGTCTCCGGACCCAGCTCTCCGTAGCGGCTTCCTGAGGATAATCTGCTCGCCTCGATCCCCCCTACTGGCCGGCATAATAACCGATCGCCCATCGTCGTCGCTGTCATCATCATAATCATCATCGTCTTCGCTTCCGTAATCATCGCTATCCTCGTCGAATTCGTCGCCTCCCTCTCCATTCGGCCTGCGACTCTTCCTCCTCCTCCACCCCTTGGTTTTATGCACGCCCTTCAACACCCGATGCGTCCTGCGCATGATCTACCCAACTTCTCTTACCCACCTCATTTGTCGCGGGTCCCTTGGCGTACGGCTCCAACCACTCCAGCAGCGTCGCCTCCTCGTCCTTTGCCCGTCCAGGGCATTCCAACACCAGATTCTTCATCCCCGCACCGTGCAGCACCACGCTCGGCACCTTGCTACCCCTATCTGCGCCGTTCTTGACGAAAAAGTTGGTGATCCACAATACCGCTCTCACCTTCTGATTCGGCAACAGTTCCGTCGGATTGGGCAGCTTCTTCCTCAGCGCGGGGTGCACCAACACCAGAATCGCCTGGCAGGTCAGCTCCCACGCGTTCCTATGCGCAGACATCTTCCCCGAGACGCTCAAACTGAACTCGCACATCGGATTCGCGCCAAATTCTAACAACGTCCGACACACCCGTGCATGCGGCTTCGTCCACGGCACGATACAAAAGTTACTGCTAGCGGCCGTGAGCTGCGCCCAGAGGAACAGCAGCCGCGTAGCCGTGTGCGCGACCTTGGGCGGGACGTACGTCTGTTTCCCGCCCTTGATCTTGTCGATCTTGTTGATTAGTGCCTTGCGCGTTGACTTGCGCTTCATGCTCGCTTCGATCTCCTCTTCGGCTTCCTTGAGACGGTGCAAGCAGGTGCGCAGGTACGTCGGTAAGGAGTACATGATGGCTACTACCAGGAAACCGAGGTCGATTTCGCGGAGAAGACGCTGGTTTTCTTCATCGAGGGAGGTGGACGTGGACGACGTCAGGCCGTTGTTGACATAAAGCGAGGGGTAGCAGAACTGGTTAAACTCCGCTTGGACGCGAGCCATATCGACGTCCTTCGGCCCCGTCCAGAACCAAGAGGCCTTTTGCGACCAGTGGTGCAGACGATGGATATCCGTCGAGGAGTTATACGGCGTGCTGGATGCAAGTGCGGCGAACCAGTGCCTGCTCATGGCTTGGTCGAGTCGGTCTAGGTAACCGTCGAAGACAGGCCGTTTCTTGTACTCGGCTATGCGCGCATACTCGAGACAGGTGCGCATGCTGTCCCAGACCACGTCACCGTCGAAGCGAGTGGTGGTGGGCATGACTCTGGCCACAGTCAGGCAGGATCGGACGAGGTAGGCTTGCGGGTTGAAGTCGGAGCTCAAGGTACCGTACAAAAGGTCGATGGCGATTTGCGAGTCGCGGAGGAAGTCGACCGCGGTACGGTGCGTGAAGTCAATGTAGGGCTTGTGGGTCAAGTCGTCCTTACGTGTATGTACTTCCAACAGTCCCAGGCATCGGCTGCTCACCTTCGCTTCGATATCTCGCACTCGCACCTCTTCCAGGTCCCAGGTGAGAGACCCCTCAGGTATCAGCTTGACCTCGTCCCATACCCCTTCGGCCAACGACAGCTGGATCGCGAGGATCGGTTGTTCCCGGATCTGCTGCTCAATGTCCATGCTCGCCATGACGATCCGGAACAGCTTAGCCGCGTTCTTCTTGTAATCTGGCGGTATCTTCTTCAGCATATGCCCATACAGCTTCTCGACATCGCCGCTCGGCAGCTGATCCAGCCTCTTGCGCATCTCCTTCAGATTATCATGGTTCTGCAGCCCCTTCTGCATCAGCAGCGACCGTATCACCAGCGTCACCCACAGAAAGACGCCCTCGGAGCGCTTGACGATCTCGTTCACCAGCCTGAACCAGTCCTCTCCGCCCCTGTCACGCACATGCAGCTGCTCGCCCAGAACCGCCTCCGTGTACCGCCGGATATCATCCTCCGTCAAGTCCTGCAGCTTTAAACTCGGGTACGACCCAAACGCCTTGGCGCACGATTGCATCGGCCTGCTTGAGACGAGGTACTTGACCCTGTCACCTTTCGTGTTGCGGATTAAGTAGATCAACTCCTCCGGATCGCCCTGGAACTCATCAATCCCGTCGATGGCGATGAACAATTTGAAATTCCCCACGTTCGTCGCCGTGGCATGCAGCAGCCGCTCGAACCACATCCTCAGCTCCGCAGCCGACGGGGTTTCCAGCTGGCCGGTGCGGCTCCTGGCAGCCTCGAGACACATCTCCGGCATGATAGTCGGTATCAGATCCGGTCTAGCACAGAGCACCCGGTAGAGAAGCGACCGAAAGAGACCCGAGACAAGTCGTTGATCGTCGGCCCCCAAGTGCCAAGAGAAGAAGTTGGCGTAGATCAGATCGTCCGATGGCCCCGCCCATCGTTGCAGGTGTTGTCGGAGGCGCCGGTCGCTAACGATATATTTCATGAGCGTTGACTTCCCCGAGCCGGCTTTGCCTTTGATCCAGTAGCACTTGTCGTTTTGGTCTTTGCTTTCAAGGAAGGCTGACAGATTCGACCACGGCCGGCAAATGTTGTCAAACGTGCTGGGGTCCTTGGGGTTGGCGAACACCCAGGAAAAGGTGCTCTCGTAGGGCATCTTGACAGACTCGAACCGGTCGGTGATCTGTCGGAAGTGAAGCATGTCCAGGACGGCCTTGTTGATGATCGCGAAGTCTTTCGGAGGGACATATTCCAGTTCTGCGGCTGCTGGTTGCCCCATGAGTCCCGGGTCGGATGAGAGACGCAATACGGTGTCGAATTTGGCGTCTTGGACAGAAGATCCCGATCCTGAGCCCTTGTTGAAGTGGCCGTTTTGCTGGTACTGGTTGCCGTTGCCGTTTATACCTAAGCCATTTCCTATGGGCTTGCTGCTTCCGCTAGGATGGATGTACCTCGTCTCGCCGCTTGCCAGTGTGATCATAGCAGCCACGATCCCCGTACTCGGACCCTGCTTTGCCTCGGCCGCCACCCTCGCGTGCTGGTCAAAGATTGGCGTGCTACTACTACTACTTCCCGACCTGACCCCGCTCTGGTTGAAGGCCACAATCTTGACGACATTCTCGTTCACACGGTGGAAGTCCTGCCGTAGCTGGACGATCTCCTCTCGTTGCCCATGGGCTAGGTCGTAGTCGTAGTGGTGCTGCATGCCGCCGTAACGGTCCACTACTTTGGCGTTCACCAAAGCAAGGACATGGACCCCCAAATCCCGCCTGGACCCGTCGAGCTTCTCCTTGAACTGGTCGAGTTCGCCTTCCGTCCTGACTGAGTTGATGGCCTCCGCTGTGGTGTTCCACCTGGAGCTGGGGCGGTTCGGGCCGTCGCACTGAAATACTAATAGGTTCAAAAAGTCCTCGGCCATATCAGTGGCTTCGTCGAGGAGAGAGTTGATAGCCTGTTTAGGTGTCAGCAAAGAGGAGGTGTCAGCAAAGAGGAGGCGTCAGCTCATGAGATGAAAGGGCACTAACATCTTCATGCTGTATTAGGAGATGTTCTGTTTCTGATGCGTTGTGAAGCCTTGGCGTGGATTTGAGGACGCGATTTATGTGTGTGAGATCGTTGAGTGCCGCTTCGAACGATTTAGGAAGGGCCGCCGCCCGAGGAGAAGTGTTGCCGCCGCCGTTGCGGAGCCTTTTGTACTCCCCGTACACGGTAGATCCAAAGTCAATGAACTGAAGAACGGCCGACGCCAGGCCTAGGGCCGGAAAAGGGTCGATCATATTGTTGAAGATAGTTGTTGTGAAAGGTGGGTGAGATTGAATGAGATTGAGATGAAGAAGAGAGACTGAATGAGAAGAGAGCTTATCGTCAACTCGCTGGGACTCTTCAAAAGCGGGGTCGTCACACTCGTCAGTCGCAGTCGTGTGTGAAAAATGACAGGCCAGCCAGCCAGAAAAAGAAAACTATGAGGGTATCATGCAAAACACATCTGTCAGCAGCAGCAGCGGAGCGAACTGCCTGAGAAGAGAGGTCAACAGCGGACGAAAACGACGACAACGAGATGAGGTTGAACTGGAGCGTGGTAAGCCTCATCTGGTGGAGCCATCCATCCGCCGTAGTGTCGTAGGGGGCCAGGCACAGCTGACGGAGCGCTACGTGTTGGACTGCCGTGGATCGGTATCGTGTATGTTTGGCTCAACGTCGACGTGAGTCGTCGTGTGTGTGTGTGTGTGTGTGTGTGTGTGTGTGTGTGTGTGGACTGATTTTCCTTCTGTATTGATGAAACTGAAAAAAAAAGGTACAACACCGGGGGCGGGCAGGCAGACAGGCAGGCAAAGTTACCAGGCAAAAGGAGACCAGACAGAGTGAGAAGTCTTGAATGGAATGGCCTCTCTAAAGATCCGATGGCCGAAAATCCCAGCCCACTTCCACGGTCACCACCACACACACTGTCTGTCGCCCTCTCTCTCTCCAGTCTCCAGTCTCCATCCAGTCTCATCTCTCGCAGCTCAGCGCTTCTTCTTGTCGCCTTCTGACCTCACGTGAGGCCCAGCTAACGACCCGGCCAAAACTGTGCCCAGCTGCCCAACACGTGTATCCAGCATGGTATCGCGGGCCATGATTGGTGGTTGGCGGGCGACGGCGGGCTAATCGATGCGCATTCTGCAGCGACTCGCAGCGCCCATATGCGCGATATCAGGTAAAACTAGTAAAGATCCGGCGTTTATGCGCCTCTGGCACTGGCGCCGGAGACTAGCACAGTGAAATGGTGGGGCTTCACGGAATCGTATAAGAATCTTCAATTCCATCTCCCTCACAGTTTTCTGACCCCTCACTCCTTGGCTTGGCCTGGTCGGTCGGCGGCGGTCGCGAGCAGGGCTTGGAGCTCATCTTTTTACTGGACAATCGATTCTTACTGGAAGACGGGCGACGAGCAGCAAAACGAATGAATGAACGAGGCCACTGGTGAGACTGGTAGGATTGAAAATGGCCTGCCAGGTGAGAGGGCCAGACCAGAATGGAGACAACCGGAAAACCGTTGTCAAGCTTCCAACGGGAAAATGCGCGCCACAACTCATTCAAGTTTTTCGCCGCCCGGGGTCGCTCCAGGTGAGGCGTCGAGAGGAGGCGTGTGTGTGTGGCTGTGATTAATGGCTGAACTCTCTGGCCGTTGGAGCCACGAAGGGGCCTCGCTTTTGCCAATTGTCCACCACACTCTCTAACACGGTAAGCTTGCATGCAGCAAAGCATCATCGTGAAACAAGTACAACGAGATGGTTCCCTTCCTTTTGGGCGTTTTGGACGTTTTGAATCGCGCATTCAGGGGCTTCTGGACCGATTGAGATTATGCTAATTTGGACGGGCAGGGTGGCGGTCAGTTTGATCTTCTGCAACACCAACATGGCGATATCATGAAGTCAGGAATTCGTCGAAATCCGGAACCTGTAGCGAAATGGAATTGACGTGCGCTTCCGGGTATTCAAGGAGTCCTTTTTGGCCTGCTGTCATTCGCTTTTGCTGCGATTCGGCCCAGATAACGAACAACTTATTGGAGCTTGAACCTTCCAGTTTGTGGTACAAGTCGTCGACGTCGTCAACCCAAGACGCTTTATCAACTGCCACCCGTTTAGTCAAGCGCGGTGGGTATCTTCAACCTGGTCCTCTCTTCTTCTTTTGAGACTTGATAATCTCATGGGCTGAGCCTTCTTGCTACTGGCATCGGCATCAACTGGATGGTGGCAGCCAGCTCTGCCATGTGTGTGCCCCATTACAATGGCGCTGCTCGTCCCGTTATCATCCTCGCAGCCTAGCGGTAGGCAAACCCTTGTGGAATCAATCCAGCCACCTGGTATCATGAGGGAATATCCTGTTCTTGACGGCGAGAGTCTGCGTTGGTGTATGTACTACGTGAAGGGTTGAAGATTGTCATGGGGCCATGGTTGATTCGCATCGTCAATCTGCCAGTCACATTTGGGCGGTCCATGATGAGGCTGTATGGGAGATCAACTGTTGCCAGTGAGGGTCGTCTGAGGACGATATCCACGAGTCCATGCTGGCCAGAACTGAATCGGCCAGTCGGATGCGGCATGGAAAGACGGCACGTATGCTTCCTGGTGGCGGGGTTGGTGATGTACAGGCAGAAACCAGAGCCGACTGGATATCCAGAATGTCCTTCGTTGACAAAATTAGATGGAGTTGGCCATTGAGAATGGTTTGCAAGACGATGAATTGATGCTATGTTGCGTCGTCAGCATATGGACTGCCGTGTAACACACTGTTGAGATTCATGCCCAATCGGTTTGCCTCTTGCTTTTTGCCGTGTTAGCTGAAAAGGACCGGTTGCCGTTGTCATGATCCCTATGTTATTATTGGCGATAGGTTATCATGGCCATATCGTTGGGGGTCAGCCTGACGCTAGTAAAAAAAAGTAAGAGTCACATGAGCTACCGGCTACGGTTCAAGCAGACATGGATATCATCGGCAACCTTGTAGGAAGCTTCTTGACACCAGGCAGAGTTGGCGAGTTGAAGTGGTCATGTCGAAATTAAGACAGCGATCCATGGATGTCATGTAACCCTATCGGTCAGCCTATGATGAGATATCGGCCTCATACGCCTCATCTTGAGACTCTGTAACCGAGTGCGAGTGACCGGAGTCACTCAAGCGGGCCCCAGCGAGGATCACGGATGGAAAACGGCATGAAAACGAACATCGGACTCGAAGCTGACGGTCAATCTGACCTCATCAGGCCTCATCATCATCATCATCATCTGAGCTCTTCTGGCGGCTGTCGAGAGGGGCAGCTTTGAAAACATATTGATGAAAAATGTTGACAGGTCCAGAGCTTTCGACGCCCACGATACTCTCCATATCGAGGATCCAAGCGAGGGAAGCGAAGTCTAAGGTCCGGGGCGCACAAAATGTGAGAAGGGAAGGTCGAAATAAGCTTAAGGTATGGTGCCATAGAAGGTTCGATGCAAGACATGTTCGATCCAAGAAGCTCCCTGGAACCTTCCGTACCTGAAGTCGTCCAGGCGATATCGGATTGTTGGCCGCAAAGTGGTATTTCCCAGGGGTGCCGAGATAGCCATCGTAACCATGGCTGAAAATGGACCTGAAGTTGGGTTGCATTGGACAATTTGAAGGATAAGGTACCGGCTCCGGAGTAAGGCGATTGGGCCGAAACTCATTTGTTCGGGATATGTCTCCAGTCGCGAAAGTGGTAAAGTCTACACTGTTGTGATGCGATATTTATCAGTGATATTTATCAGTGAGTGTTTCTACACGAACGAGAAGTTCATAGTAAGTGATAATGGTCATGACATCCAGGAAAGTGTATCGTATTTAAGAACAAGCGTGTAGAGATTTGATATCTTGATGGGACGTGGAATGTGAGGCTGAACCTTTTTGGAGTAGCTCGACGTGCGTTAATCTTGATTAAGAGAAACCACCACTAACAAAAGTTGTTTGCATCACCGGGAGAATCAAAGTACACTCTGAACTTAAAGTGCTTATCAGGCATGGCCACCTCTTCAGAGATTACTACCCCTGAAGCTCCGTCAGCTTGTTTCGACATCCACTAACAAGCATGGGCTTGAGCTTCTCCGATGAACCTGGAGTGTCTGGAGAGCTTCCATCATGATGAAAAGGGAAGTCAACCTCCCTCACCCCGCAAAATTCCCCAGGAAAATGGCCTTTAAGATGCGGACCTTGGCATGGGTCGACATGTTGGAAAGAGGAAGGAGATCCAATTCCAAGAATGCTGGGATCGAGATTGAAGCCGGAATGGGAATGTCAATGTTGTCTCCAAGGGGAGTCTGGAACTGTCTGACGATGTTTATCGGGTGGATATCACGACATGCCGCCGCCTGGATGTTGACAGTGACATGCACGGGGAGACGGGCAGGACGGGATAGCGTCCATTAAAGTTGGGCTAAATGGGGGAAGCACTCCACATGGTCGCCGTCGACAGTGCGGTTGGGAACGTGTGGTCCCCGCGGACTGCAGTCGCAGTGACGTTGATGTCCGTTTTCGGGGTCCTGTCGTCGAGATCAGTCGAGACCATCACGACGAGGCCATATGTCAGGCTGAGGCAGGAAAGGTCAAATTTGAAAACTTCAATGTTGTCATCCTGGAAATCAATGTCAATTGTGGCAAAAGCTTGCGTCTTTAACCATCGTGAAGCATGTGTCGTGGTGTTGATGGCAGAATTCGCAATGTAGACATGGTGATGTTGACTCTCCAAATGGGAACCTTGATGGAAGAGTTGCCTGATCTGGCTGCGATTCGAGATGTACTTGCACGTGACCGGAACCCGGCATCACAGAGCTGCTAGTCTCATATGTTAGACAACCGCTGTACAGGATGATGCAATACATAACAGCAAGTACATCCCCGCCTTTTACAGTGGGTCGAGTGATGTCGCAATTCTGGCGACAAAGCAACAAAGCGAAAAAAGAGGATGGGTGACTCCACCTTGTACCTGGGAGCTTCCCGCGCCCCACCCCAGCGATTTCGCCATTTTGCCCTCGTCTTGCAAGAGCGACGGCCAATCTTGTCTCCTTCTGTCGCAACACGCACACACAAGTCACAGCCAGAGAAGGAGCAAGTCCAGCACGCGTCCGATTTCAGGAGGTGAAGCAAGAGGTTCAACACCCCATTGCGTTGCGAGACATTGACCTACACTCAATTGCCGTCTTGGAAGGAGTATTCCCCATCCCACACTCACCACCGAGAGCCGTCCCCAGAGCCGTTATCCGGTTACGCTAAAGACAACATC